GTTTCTACTGCTGCGGTGACCGACTGTGTGCTGTCTGTTTTGGTTTTGGGCTGCAGGGCTTCCCTTCTCGCGCGCCTGTTGGGGCGACTGCGTTCTGTTCGGCCCTGCGAACCTTTGTTTGCGTGTTTGTGGGTGGCCGCCACATTAGCAGACTTCCCTTTGCAGGGGCGCTTATGGGCGGTCACAGTCCACTGTGTAAGTGTGGGTGTTGTGTTGCTTGTTGAGCTTGTTGTAGCTGAAGTTATGGCCTCAGCTAGGCCAGACAGGTCCAGGCTTGTGCCCTTCCCTGAGCGCTGGTTGTCCCCCCCAGAATACGCGGGACAGACCAAGCTAGGCTTGGTGAGGGATTCCTCGCTAGTCGCGATACCCTCCTGGGGTACTGTAATCTCTTTATCAGCACTCATTGTAATGTTTGGGGCTTTGGCGGGAAATGCCAAATAACGCACACGACTCCTGCCCAAGGGAGTGTGGTACAATGTTTTAGGGGGTATTTAGTGCCCCTAGGCCATGTGAGCCCGGGTGTGGATATGCGCCGCCACGGTTCGGCTATGCGGGATTTTGTGGTCCGGCCAGAGGTTTCTGTTACGTCAATTACAGAAGGTATTTGACCAATAACGGGCGGCAACCTCGTGAAGGATAGTCCTCTGGCCTTGATTAGGGGATCCTTGCGACTTGCGCTACTCCCTAACCCGTTCGCCAAACCCAGTATCGGACAGATACTGAGAGTAGGTGATCATCAAGCAAGTTTCTTGTTTGACCATCCCCCGCCCTGTGCCCAGACCTTATCTATAGATGGAATAGAGAGATTGGGCCGTTAGCGTATGACCCACCACTCAGGCTCAGTGCGGATTGGTATATGCTAACAACAGCCGGAACCAACAGCTTTCCGAAGCACAGAGGAGCTAGACATAATAAGTTTTTGGTCACCCATCCAATGACCAACCATTGCGAAAGTTGCTTAACTTCCATGAGCGCTGGCCGATTGAGCTATCCACCTTCACCATCGAGATTTTCAATCCAGGTAGTAATAAATTATCTGTGTGTCGAATTTCTTCCAAATCATTCTGCCTTTTTTGCATGATTGAGTAACAAACATACAAACTTCCACATTTATAATATTAGTAGAATATAACTCCACCATGGAGATCAATAACTCAATTTCAATGTTATAATAATAACCCAAATAATATAAAAGTGTGGGTAATATAGTAGTTAAATTACTTATATATGTACCAGGCAAGTTAATGTTGTAGTGATTAGGTCAAGCTTATTATCAGAATGCGTCACACATGGTTAAACCTGCTCTATGTCAAATGTAATCAGTAAAAATAATCAGTGGATGTTCATTCAAAATGATGTGTTTGTGGAACAATCTAGGTTTTTTTTATAAAACTTTTATCATTCTGGTACAGAATACTATTGAAAGATTATAAATGTTTTATGACAATGATAAATAAAAATGTAAAAAGAAGTTACAAGCAATTATCCGAGCTACCAGTAATAGCCTGCGCAGACGAGGGACTTTTGTCTGCTGCAATAGAACGCTTACAACTGCATCGGGTAATGCACACAACGGATTAGAAATACCGCGGATAAAAAGTCACACGAACTACCGCGGTCACCGAGGCCTGGTCGGGGTCCAGAAGAACATCCCCCAGCAGAACGGACAGAACAAAAAACGCGAAGGTCCACGAAAAAAATAGAACATAATATGTGACAAGGGGCGGGAATGCACACGGCAGACATTAGTCGGCGGTGCGTGTTCGATAGTGATGTATGTGGTAAAGAAGTGGAAAAAAGAACTTCTTTATATACATCGAAAAAAAAGAGTATCACAACCGAAAGAACAATGGCCAAATGTTTGTTGAAGGAATTCTTTAACGTCTATAGATTTCATCATCAGAAATGCAAATAAAATAATCTTAACGGATTTATCAAATAATTGAGGGGTTGTCTAAGTCTGGAATTAAAAACTTATATTATGAATCACAATTGAGTAATTAATAAGTAATCACATTTATTGTGTTTTACAATCTAGCAATAAAAAAAAAATATCTTTCAGAAAGATCATTTAACATTATTTTATTCAATATTATAGTGAAAGCATGATAAATAATCTCAACAATACAAACAAATAATCAATGCAATTTAAAGGGATTGACCCAGTGTTCTCCTTTAGAACGTCTTCTGTTTTTCTTAAACTTCAGTTTTATTACAATACATCGTTGTCTCAAAATATTGCTTCCATAGCGTGCGCCTCACTAAATTTAGTATTTGTCCTCGGTGTGAGGACAAATGTCCGCACACCGAGTACGTTAACAAGACTGGTAAGTCCTCGGCGGTCAATATTTTTATAAAACGGAGACAAAAGTTCGTCGTCTGCACATGCTATTATTGGTAAATTACCAGTAAAGGCATATATTTTGTTTAAAAATTCACAGTAAATGTCTGCCATTGACTTTGGGGATTTGGGGGTCTAAAATAGAGAGATTCATCTTTCGTTATTGTTACGCAGTCCTCGCGAGAAGGAAACTACCCCAGTCCAGGATCTGTCGCTGTCCAGCATTGCTTTCACAACGCTGGACAGAGGGCGATCCTGTCCTATCGTTACGACCACACCATGGCGCTGCCGAGTCCGTAACGAGCACTCCTCGAGGGTGTGCTGCGCTGTGTCCCCGGCAGCGCCACAATAATGTCATGGTTTTCTTTATTATTAATTATATTAAACCGATCACACGCTGTGCGACGTCGTAGATATGTGAACTCGGGTTTACCATGTACTACGCCATAGCTATTCTTTCTACTTTCGTAACGTAGTCGAACGTAACAGAGTTTAATTAGTGTAGTAGTAGGCCACTTAGCCACGCTCCAGTGTGATCTTATAAGTCTGTTCTGTCGTCACACAAGTGGCACATTGTGTGACAGCCCGCTTGGCCCAGCGGTTTGTCACTAATGCTAGATTGGGGGGCTTTTAAGCGTTGGGGGAAAAATATTTTTGGGGGGTTTAATGGGGGGAATGGAGGGAAGAAATTTGAGTTTGGGGGGCTTTTAATTAAATTTTTTATATGAAAATAAAACCACTTCATAAACTTTTGATCTGTAAAAAGCCGCGATCAACAGTCAATCAATAGTCTCTCTTTCTTATTCTGTATAGTGCATGACAAAGATTGACTGTTGTCAAATTTAATTTGATTAGGCTTAAAGAATCATGCCGGATTCGGACATCTAAGTCCAAAGCACACATAAAAAAATCGTCGGTTCAATCCGTCTCGCTCAGTCGCTCGGTCAGTCAAGTCCATGTCAAGTCAACCAAGTCAGTCAGTCGTTAATTGTCTTAGCTTAAACTGCAAATCGATTCAACACTATTTATCATCTTTGCTCTGCTTAATCGTAATTCGTGCAGAAATATATAATATGTAGTAAATATTGTATTTTTAATTAATATTTTTCATAATGGGTGTTTTTTCCTTTTAAAACCTGTATTTTGGGGGATTCCGGGTAAGATTTGGGGGGAAGGCGAAATGGCTTTCTGGTAACACTGCAGTTTGTGATCCTGCGGCTACTTAGAAGAAGTTTAAATAATTTACGTACTTACTTTCACATAAGTACCTACAAATATTAGTTGCATCTCATAGGAGACTGTTAATAGACTTTTAGTACTGCCATAGTATTAAACAGGTTGGTTTTTCACAATTGTGTAAACAACATTATTATGCATGGTATCAAAGAAATCAAATATTTTAGTTTTTGCAAGAGTAGGTTATTAAATTAAAAATGAGATATTGAGAATTGCTTGGAAAGGACATGGCAATACGTTGTTTTTATTTAGTAGGCAAAATAAAATCATGATAAAATCTGATTTATTTGACCAAACATCTAACAACAACGAACGACAAGGTTGAAATAAAATAATCTTTCTTTTCATTATAGCTAATGAAATAAAGCAAAATTTTGTAAAATACAAATTCTGTAGGTATGTGGAGTATTTATTTTTGCTATTACGAATTTTGAAACCATTAATAGGATCCCCGCGAATTCGTCAGTGCAGAATAAGCAATTCGTGCACCGTAAAAAAATGAATTTATACGAAACTGGATTTTGTATGTGAAGGCACATATTAGCTCACCTTTGCGAGTGTGGATACAGTAACAAACGCAGCATATTTACGTATATAAAGACAAAGAAATATTTAATTAATAAATTAGTTCTCTTTGCGCGCCTGTCCCCGGTGCTCGTCACAGATGGGTCGTTTTTGTTTATTAGACCCTTTTGAATATATTAGGACTCTAACTAACAGTTAAATTTACCCAGTGCCTACTTAGGAGTCAAGTGATATAATAACTTTATTCTCATTTGTTCGATTCATTAGTTCGATCGTCGAACTAGTGAGATTTTTTCTTACATTAGTTCGATAGTCGAACTACTGAGATTTTATTGTTTTCATTTGTTCGACCGTCGTCGAACTTATTTTCTTTATTTATCCATTTTCATTACCATAACCTCTTAGTTATGTATGGTTTCCTGGTACTTTTTTCTAAATAGTGATTTTTATAAATGTTTATGGATGCAATATTGACGAAGGTCGAACAAATGAGAACAATAAAATCTCAGTAGTTCGACGATCGAACCAATGAGAAAAAAAAATCTCACTAGTTCGACGATCGAACTAATGAATCGAACAAATGAGAATAAAGGATATAATATACACCAGAACAATACTATAGGGTCAAAGTAGCAAAGTCCTTAGTCCTTAAGATCAATTAGGTAAAGTATGAATTTGTGCGCATTCTTTATATCGCTATATGTATTTCAATTAGTTTGTACAGAACCCTGCGTGCTCGAATGTTACCTGCACTTGACCGGGTTCTCGATTATTCAACTTGAGATGTAATATCAAATATGTAGTTTGTTTATTAATCATTCATCGATTTTTAATAAAATCGTCACAAAGTATCCTCCTCATATTTATATTCTCTGGTGTATTTTTACTCTGTTTCTAGAGCCTGTAGTAAAAGTTCCTAATCAGCACGCAAGCTTGACGCCTCAGTTCTTGCCGGACCCACGGCATGGATTCCTATACATGTACGGTCCTAGAGGGGACCAACAGATGCTCAAGAAGTTGCCTTTTACGATACCGGAGCTGGTGGCGAATGCACCATGCCGCTCCAGTGAGGGTATACTGTACACAGGGAAGAAAAGCGATACTTGGTTCATGCTGGACCCCTTGACAGGATCGAGGGAACATGTATCAGGTATAAACAACATAATACATATACCTATTGATATTACACTAGCACTTCGCATAGCTATTCGTATTTGTAAACTTGATTGCAGTATATCCTTATCATGCTTTAGAGTCTGATTAACTCGAATTATATCGACTTACAGTGTTCAAACGAATTTATGATGGTTTAATGTCGTGTTGTGTTTACACCAATATTACAATAAACATCAGCAACGTATTTAAAGACGGTTTATAAATAGTAAAGAATTTCTTACAGGTTTTGATAAATCAAAAATTTTCAATGGCCAGGAAGGCAATACGTGCGAACCGGACAAAAAGAGAGGGGTGTATGTTGCCAGAACGGAGTACAATATACTAATGCATGACTCGAAGAATAGCAACCAGAAGTGGAATGTAACATTCTTTGATTACACGTCGCATGCCATGGGGAAAGAGATGTTGAATGATTATGGTAACTTTATTGTTTTAGTTATTTCAGTTAATCAGGTCAAAGGTTTAGAACCCATATAGGATTTAAGTCAATGTGTCAGTCAGTAATAAAAAATTTAAACCGTTGATTTGGATGACCAGACGGTGCGAAGATATCTTTTTGTGCGATCCACTATGCGCCACGATGACATTAATAAATTTTTAAAGATTTATATATTTGCGGAGAAGTTCCAACTTTAGGCGGTTAGTAATAAAGATGATATTGCGGTCTGAAAGCATAAGTTTTTCATGACGTGACGGGCATTATAATAACAATGCCCTTTTAGATAAACGCAGCGGAGCTATTGACCGCCTTAAAAAAGTAATTTCATAACTGTACTGTGTGTGTCGAATTTATAAAATAATTTCTAAATAACTGATTTCTTGGGGTTCAATATTGCCTAGTAACAGTATTATTACGGTATTCTTCAGGAATAATTCACTTCGCATCAACGTCAAGTGGCAGACTGATGTCCTTCGACCGTAAGACAGGTGACCTCGTGTGGTCTCATAATTTCGAAACCCCAGTGGTCGCTGCATATTTACTAGACAGAGAAGGTCTTATCTCCGTCCCTTTCAACTCTATCGGGGATGACACGCTCGATCATATAATGGAAGATGCGACGACCTTGCGAAACGGTCAAGGCATTAAAAACTCCAATATCGAACTGTAGTAAGTTTTACTGTATAAATTTCAACGTATGGGTAGTTACGTAAAAGATAAGAAAATTACATTCTCCATTAATGTCCAACATAACGTAAAACTGGTAAAACCCTGATTTTGATTACAAGTATAAATAAAATCCTACTCATCGAAACGATAAATAATAATATATAATGGAACACAAATAAAGTAATTGGTTGTCATTTTTGCATTGGGTAGGTACTGTAATGTTTATGAAAAATAATAAAGTTTACGTTTTCAGTCCGACTTTATATGTCGGTGAACACAATCATGGATTGTACGCCTTGTCGTCACTGGTAGACAAGAACACTATAACAATATCCACTGGTCACACACAACCTCTTCTGCTCGAAGGACCATCGGCGATCGTGAATCCAGAGAACTCTAAATACGAACCATTCACAAATGTTCACTACAAATTGAACGATTTTAATCTACAAGTATCCGCGCCATATTTGTTATTGGGACACTACAAAGTCCCCGAGTTGTTGACCACATGGATACCTCAGCTGCCCAATCTGAATTTCTTGAATGGACCCGAAACACAGACCAATGGAATTAAGTTAATCAATGGACAAGTTCATAGAGATACCGATAAAGATGTTGAAAATGAAACCAATTTGAAATCTAGCTCAGTGTCAGTGTCGGTGCAAACTGAAGATTTGTTCGAGAATATGAACTTCAGACCGGATTTATGGTACAAGAAACTGTACCTGTGGCTGCAACATCAAGAGAATACCGCTTTGAAACTGGCATTGATAATTCTCGTCGGGTTGGTTATCACCATGTTTTGGTATCTGCGCTATCAGGTAATTTTCAGTTTGATTATATATGTATTTGATAGCTGATACAGAAACTTCGTTAATATAACACTTCCTTTCTAATTTTAGTCATAAATGCTGTAGGAAATAGTTTGATGCTTAAACATATATATTACAAACGCTGTTAACTGTTCCTTCTTTTGAATGTTTGCTATTTGAAAGTATGTGTCATTTGATTTTTTAGTTACCTACAATTGTAATGTGAAAAAATGTCGCTGTCCAGCCTAACTAACCCTAGGACAAATCCAACATGTGCACTCGCATTTACCCGGATAGCAAAGGCCGCTAATTGGATTTAATTGATGGTACCTAGGTTGAGTTGAAATTTTGCTAGTTGAATTTAATTTTGGAATTAAATCGCGAGGCAAATGCATAGATAGAAATATAATAATTTATTATCATTTCGGACGTAGCAACAGGAGTTATATATTTAAATGTGTTTTTATCAATCTGTAAACCCTGAACGCTGATATATATTGCATAATGCATAAGTAAAAACAATTGCAGATACCTAAATAAAACTAGTTTTTACCGGGTTAATGTACGAACTTTATTTATTTATTGACGTTTCGCAACATTTTCAGGTCTGCATCGTCAGAATAATTGTAGATACCTGCTAATAATAATAAGTTTTATATAATAATAAAGTTTACGTTTATTTGTCACAAACAAATACATTTGATTCGCTTTGAGAAGTTTGGTTTACCATTCTTGAAGTAGCAACAATGACCTGAATGAATGTTGATCCATTATTGAGATATCGATTCTGTATAAAATTCTTTTCGTTGTGTAAGCCAATTGGAAAGCTGTGTTTCCTCTCATTGTTTACTCAGCTGTGAGACTAATTCCGCAGATAGAGACATAAAAAAACTGTTATAACTATATTACATTATTTTATTAATTAAATTCAATCATTAAAGTACATGTTTGTCCAAAAAAGAGGACCCGCTAAATTGTTTTTCTTCAAAAACGCCCGTAAAATTGCTTATTAAAAGCTTACTAACTTTATTAATCACTTAAAAACAGTAATTACAACGGTTTGTGTAACAAGTTGATTAGTCACGCACTTGGCGAGCTCACTCCTACGTAGTTATTATACAGTTTACGTATTGCAAAAAAGCATTTACACATTTCTTTATCTTTAGCCAGTTCTATGAATTGAATAGTAAGTATGCCACTAAAAGATATAATCTTTTACAAAAAGTAAATCAGACGTCATTTATTTATTAGGTAATTGTCGAATTCCGAGTCTGAGACGTGATACTCGAGGTCGATAATTCAAATCCCGGTCGAATTGGAGCACCCGCCTGGGGAAGCAACCTTCACCTTGCAAAGTAAAATCACACTATTTTTTGGTGGTGTTGTGATTCTGCTGGGTTCCAGGGTTCCGCGGGGTAGGGGATTGATTGCGGGCCGGCTTAGTGAGGACGGGTGGACAATTTCTGCCGCATCATCTATCTTCGCGACTGAAATTTACACTCATCATCAGGTAGGGTGATGTAATTTGTTGCGTCTCATATAAAGAAAACTGGTACTGCAAGCGTCCATAGGTTTCGGTCCCCGCTTACCACCAAGAGGAGTGTAAGCCTGTTTGCCCCCTTTTCAATTAAAAAAATATTAAAGGTATAATAAATTCTGAAGCCCCTGAAGTGTACTTATGTTGTTAACAGGCTCGCGAGTTCCAACAGTTGTCGCAAGGCGGGTCGCGTTCTTCTACATCTTCTACGTCGTCTAATGCCGAGATCACTGGGTACCTCGAGGAGATAGGAGACGGAGAAGTGCGCATAGGAAAAATTAGCTTTCATACGGGACAAGTCTTGGGCAAGGGATGCGAGGGAACGTTTGTTTATAGGTTTGTGTTTTTGAGTAGCACGGACACAAATAACATCAAGAGGCAACACACAACCTCTTTGACTCGAAGGACCATTCATCATAATTATCATCCTATCAATGTGCCCATTACTGGGGCATAAGCTTTCCCTAAGGATGGAATAGGGAGATAGGGCCTTGACACAATACGCGGACTTGACTACTAACGACTGCAGATGCATTTAGAGGTCAACGGCTTAACGTGCCTTCCTAGCACGGAGGAACTCCAGAGAATAAATTTTTAGTCACCCATCAGAGAACCGGCCATTGCGAAAGTTGCTTAACTGAAGAATCATTGGCGGACATTAATTCAGAAAATTTCAGTCGCTAATGTTCTATTAACTAAACGATTTAAATCTATACGTATCTGTTCCATACTTATTATTTCTCTGGAATCTAACAGCCACGGAGTCTCTGACGTTATTTTTCTGAAGTAAATTAGAAGCTAACATAAACAACGCTATTTCTTTATCTCCGAAATTATTCCATAGAAATTTTATCAATTTGCTTAGGGATATAGTCATTTTAAAATCGTTGCTTCAGAGGTACATTTGACAAGAGGGCGGTAGCGGTGAAGCGCCTTCTGCCCGAATGTTTTACGTTCGCCGACCGCGAGGTGACGCTACTGCGCGAGTCGGATGCGCATGCGCATGTCGTACGATACTACTGCACGGAGAGAGATAAGCAGTTCAGGTGAGTAATTAGAATAATTGAGTTGATGTCTTGTACATATATGTTAAGAACTTTAAGCCGCATATCGCTCAATCTTTTTATTTAATGACAGACTTATTAAATATCTGAGGCCCAAGCCCGGATTTTTGACAGTAGGGTATTCGACAAGTATTAGAAAACGATCTCACGATATTTGCTATTATTAAAGGAGTCCATAAAAATGGATATTTTTAATTCTGTTGTGTAATTCAATAAAAAAAAAACAAAATTAATAATTCAGTTTTCAAGTTGCCGTGAAAACGTTTCTCTGAACATTATGGCGTCTCACTAGTTTGTAACGTCACACGACTGTTCTTAAAACGTGAAACGATACAATGTAATGTCACTCAGGCGGAAGTTTATTAGCGTGTGACGTCATTTTAGTCTTGGCCAATCCCAGGCGTTTTCGGACACATGACCATGAAGCAAAAAAAAAAATCTATTTAATGATTTTGTTGAAAAGTTATTAATTATTTGTTCTTTCAGAATAGGAAAATCGCTACTTATATTCATACTAAATACAGATACAGGAAACAACTGCGACATTATAGCTATTAACGGGATTGTTACCATGTACCATGTTTTTTATGAGTCCGATATTTCGGCACTGTTTGCAAGTGCCATGATCACGGAGTAACTGTTACTTCGTTAGTGACTATGAAAGTTTAAAACAGGAAATTCCTACATTATTTTTCATACTATCAAATAGCCTGTTCTGTAACGTATCGTACTCGCCATTGGTGCTTTGGCTTCTGATGTAAACTTTAGACTCAAACATAGTCAAATGGGGGGACCGCGATTAAAGTTTTTTGAAAATATCACTTCTTTAGTGGTCCTCGAACTACGATGTTCCAGTTTAACTATAGCTAAGTAGTTATAATAAAGTTAAAGGGCCAAAGAACACATTTTATTTCTGGGTATTTATTTTTAAATTTTCCTTATTTTAATTAAATATTTTAAGATCTGAAAGTCTGTATGATACTAGTTTAATCATGTCATTATTTTTAGATACATCGCACTTGAACTGTGCTCAGCTACGTTACAAGACTATGTTGAGAAAAAGTTGACTTTCGAGTGTACAATAGACGCCGTGGAAGTTCTAAGACAAGCTACTATGGGCTTGTCTCATCTTCACTCTATGGATATTGGTGAGAGTTCATTTTTTTGGCGGCATCTTTACAAAGTTGTCATTTGTCAGTTTGATTTTTTCATTCAAGTTTTCATAAAAGGTTTATTTGTATAATATAATAGAGGCCCGATAATAAAAATATTTTCTACACCTAAGTTATCACTAGTGATACACATGTTAGTGAAGAATACATATACTATATATCAGGAGTGGTAAAGCACTCCCCACGCCATAGTTTAATTAGGGTCACATTCAATTGATTTTATTATATCACTACAATTTTTTTCGTTCATCTTAAGCATGTCGCATTACATTTTAATTATTAATATAAATCAGACTTTATCAACAAGGGGCCGTTCAAGTATTACGTAAGCACTATAGGGGGGCAGGGGGGGTCTTTGCTTTGCTTATTTTTGGTGACATGGGGTGGGGGGGATCGAGATAGTGTCATTAAAAAAACAGAATACATTAAAGGAAAAATGCATATAGGTACCAATGTTTACGTAAGCATGGGGGGGGGGGGGGGTAAGAGCTTTGCTTACTTTTGCGTAATACTTAACGGCCCCTAAGCGTCGGTGGTTCAGTGGTAGAAAGCTCGGCTGCCACGCGGGCGGCGCAGGTTCGAATCCCACGCAAGGGAGGACTTTTTAATAATGATTTTAAGTTTCACTTGCATCATAGTTTCGTAAAACCATACATTTTTTTATTTATTTCATAGTTCATAGAGACATCAAGCCTCACAACGTGTTGCTTTCGATGCCGTCGGGCTCGGGGGAGGTGCGAGCCATGATCTCGGACTTCGGTCTCTCCAAGAAGCTCAACATAGGCAGAGTTAGTTTCTCTCGCCGTTCCGGAGTCACCGGCACCGACGGTTGGATAGCGCCGGAAATGATCAACGGAGAGCGAACGGTGAGTTTAGCGTGATCTGAATATCAATAAAGTACTTGTATATGTTGCAAGTACTTGCGTTGCATTCACAGAACAGGAGCCTATGCGGGGATTTTTGTATTTAGTCAATCGCCAGAATAATATACGGGGGTAACCATGCACCTTGTGAAGAACTCCCACTAGACCAGCGCCCTTTATATAAGAGAACGTCTAGTGCAGCAAAAAAAACTTCAAACGCCCAAGCCTTTTTGTCGTGTCCAAATGAGAGTGTTTATAAAAATTGACGTCGCTAGTTGGCGCCACTGTAACGTGCGATCTTTTGTATGAAGTTTTTGGCGGGAACTACTCGAAAGACTGTTTAAATTGATCCTTAGACTATGAGAACATATGCGATTTGACGGATGAGTTGACCTTTCGTCTCAGTACTGCCACCTGGTGCCCGACATTCCAGAAAATCCTCATTGTCAGTATTTTGAACTGGAGGGTTCACGAAACTTTTCTCATGATGTAAAAGCGCTCGGCCTTCATCGAATTCATTAATGTCGCGAGCGTTCTGGTTAAATCTGTTTTCAGTATGTTCGTGGTTTTGGTTCAAGAGCGTTCGTGACAATATTTTATATTTCAGTACACGTCTCCCATACAATGCTTACTCTTTTGTGTAGCTTAGCTTGCCTAATTGCCAATTTTCATGATCTAAATAAAAAGTTTTTCATCACCTTTAATCTCACATTGTTGCTGGCAGACGACATCCGTGGATATTTTCTCGCTGGGCTGCGTATTCTACTATGTGCTATCTAAGGGGCACCATCCGTTCGGCGATGTCTTGAGGCGGCAAGCTAACATCCTCACTGGAGACTACGACTTGAACCAATTAGAGTGAGTTTATCGAAATTATTAGTAAGAGGTACCATTATCGACTTGATCCAGAGTCGAAGAGACTGGTTATCTGTCATACAAGTTCTCCTAGTGCAGAAGCCAGTCTTTTACATAGACTTTTAAATTACGTTCTTATATTGTGAATTTGCTGTACACCTTACTTTTCACCATTATGTTTTGTTATTCTATGTGAGAGAACAAATAGAGTTATTGAATGAAGTAACTTTGGTGTTAAGAAATTGGCAAAGTATCATAGCTTGACAAACAAAATCGATGGGTTTCAATAAAAATATGTTATGGGTTACTTACGTCCCTATCATCTATTCTGGCGCGAACTATCCAGTTGGCAACTTTTTACATTGTGCACTTAGTGTAGTATTCTTATGCACATCCCATATTTTCGTGGCGAAGCTTTGGGTGGCCTTTGTACTAAAATTAGCGTACGAATTTTGAATTGAATTGGCTCCTTTAGCTGCACATACAAATTATCGTCTCCCTCTTTAATGCGAGTCAATTATCGCCAGTCAAACAGCCCGCTAATTCATTACAACAGAACTAATTCAAATTTGGAACGCAAATTTTAGGGCGCACTAAATTAGTACCATAGCCACCCAAAGCTTCGTCGCGCGGGTGTAGGAGAAGCCTTATAAATATCTCAAGAACGACCATGTTACAGGGAGAATTTTCAATATTTTCTTAAAGTGGTAGTCAGTGTCCGACAGTGGTGAAACATATATCATTCGAAAGCTTGCTTTATGGCATAACATGTACAGATATTTTATAATTTATTTATTTATCCACGATTCAATTTAAATCTTATTTAAGAATTTAACAATTTTGTAAGGTTTCTGGTCACCCCGTAAGAAACAACATATTTTTAGTCTGTGGCGGCTTATAACTTCAACTCGATCTCTATGTCAAATGTCAATCAGTCCAGTCATGCCTGATATTCATAAAAAAATGTAATTCCAATAGGTTTACTGATGAATTTCAAATTGTACTGTACAAATGTTCATTTCTTATAATTTTTGATATGAGGAACCTAAATACATCGATTTCACTTCATAAAATTAGAAGATGGCTGTAGTAATTTAATTTGAAAAATAGTTTTTAGTCTATACTTTTTAAACAGTAAAAACGCTGTTGACACCATGATTGTGGCGTCACAAAATTTGTAAACAACTAAACTTCACTGTTGTGCTACTGTGGCTAAAATATATCTAAAAACTCATATCTTGTAGAAAAGTTTCCGTTTATTGGTATTTTTGACTAAATTAATGCTGGACGCCGGATTTGTGAAAGCAGAAACGACAAAACTCTTCGACTTAGTAGATACATTCATAACCTTAAAAATTGTATTTTTAAACTTAAAATTATTTTATAATTTAATTTTTATTCAATGAGTACTTACATCGAAGTGATCTTTGCAAAAGCAAATGACTTTCAGTCGATAAAGTGAACTTGAAAAGTCGACTTGACTACTATACTCCATACAAATTTGAATCGTCTCTTTTTCAGTAAAGTGTTGCCAGAGGAAGAGGTATTAGTGACCAAGATTCTAATAAGAGCGATGATATCGGCGCGGCCGCAGGCTCGACCTCCCTGCGAGACTGTACTCAAGTATCCCATGTTTTGGGGGAGCCAGACCATACTCAACTTTTTACAGGTAATTTTAATAAGTCATGTGGGTGGGCGGGTCATTCTCATATTTTTTGACGACGAAACGCAACCGTTTTCTCTTAAACGAAAACTAGTCCTCGAAACGGTTCTCGTTCGCAACTGGTTTTGGTTGCGGCTGGGTGACGCAACGTAACGACATGCAACGCGACGGTCGAACGAATGTAACGTAACGAAACTAAACTAAACAAAATCTTGTTTCGACGAGTGAAAGGATTGCTAATTTACAATGCCAACTTGCCGTTCTCATTAAATTTCATTGTTTTGTTTCAATTTGTTGCTTAACAAACTTGCACTCTATTTTAATAGCGATAAGGTCATAACTGGCACACCGTGTTGCGAACGAGACGACGAAATATCGAAATAAAAGACGTGTTATACGATAATCGACTTTAAATGTTCACGAAACGGTTTCATATCATTACGTTTTATTATAGACTGTATTTACTTCATCATTAAGTACAAATTGGCGTGTAGACAATCCGAGAACTAGTTGTTCGACGAAGACTGTTTTGATCCGAAACGTAAAACGGTTCTATCGTCGCGGAACACAAAACGGTCCTTGAAACCGGTTCGACTTAGAACGCTCATACCTAGTCATGTTTGCAATCCACTTGCTTAAATTAAGTATGGATCACATTTTTATATTTTTTTTTTTATACTACAGAAGTTAAGTGATTTAACATATAAAAAATATGGTTAACTTTATCAGATTAAACTCTACTCTTTTTATTTATAATGTTTATTTTATACTAGCTGACCCGGCGAACTTCGTACCGCCTTAGCGTAGCTTTGATGCACTACTTTATTTTGTATAGCTGACCTATCTTATGTATGAGTACCTATTCAATTTGAACTGGAATCTATAATATCCTCCATATAAAAATGAATCCTTATTTCCCTGGTCTTGCCATACCTGAGGACTTTACTAATTTTTCTTAAATAAAAAATTTATAAAAAACTTAAAAAAAAAAATCCGTAAGAACCTTGTACAGAGTATTAGAACACTACAAAAAAAAACAACCAAATCGGTCAAGCCGTTTTCATGTTATTTCGTGACAACGGAAAACGGGTTTCATTTTTATATATATATAGATTAATTCAAATGTTTTTTTAACTTGTGTACTAAAGTTACTGCAATATTTAAAAGTGTGATACTTCGTTTTACAGGCCAGTGTAGATAAAATGAAATTGATTTATTTGCAGGCAGTTTTAACAATTATCAAGTTTCTAATATAGCCTAAATATCGTTGTCAGTTAGTATTTTTTATTTATTTAATTTTACATGTGAATAACATTTATAGTCGCTAATATTAGATTAATCAACGGGATTGCTAATATATGTTATTGGAAAACCTACCGAACTGACCTCATTTTAAAAGAAACAGCAACAAGAATAACAGATTTGTTTCTTAGGTTTTCACGCATATCACCCATTAAATAAATATAACTAGTTTTTACGGGTTAATGCTTTTAACATAAAAGTTTTATTCTGACGACGTAGCCTGTAAAGGCTACGAAACGTCAATAAATAAATAAAATTTCGTGCACTAACCCGTAAAAACTAGTTTTTTTATTTAAAGAATAACAGATTTAATAACAATGTAAATGTTAGAGGTTTTCCGCACTGCGACATTTTACCGCGTGTTTTTATTATCGAAATTCCGTAACATTCAATATCTTTGTAAGAGTAGCCGCACTGGCGCAGTGGGCTGAAAATCGTGTTTCATAGACATTCAAATGTCGTACAAACAACCAAACAAACGTATTAAATTACCACATTGATTTTCCAAAATAAATAAAAAAAAATCGCGTAAAATATTTATCGCTATGCATACTAGCTGTAATTCCGTCCACGGAATATAATACGCGAGAGTAAAAATCGCGTGGCGAACAAGTTCTTTAATTTTATCAGTTTCACTAACAGCATTATTATTTGAAAAGGACGTAAGCGACCAAGTGGAGAGCTACGCGTCGGGCAGCGCGCACCCGTTAGAGAGCGGCGCGCGTACAGTGGTGCGCGGAGATTGGCGCGCGCACGTATGCAGCGCGGTGGCGGGCGATCTGCGCGCGCGGCGCACGTATCGCGGGGACCGCGCCGCGCATCTGCTACGCGCCATACGGAACAAGGTGAGGGCGATGTGTAGTGTAAGAGAGCGGCGCGCGTACAGTGGTGCGCGGAGATTGGCGCGCGCACTTATGCAACGCGATGGCGGGTGATCTGCGCGCGCGACGCACGTACCGCGGAGACCGCGCCGCGCATTTGCTACGCGCCATACGGAACAAGGTGCGGGCGATTTGTAGTGTAAGAGAGCGGCGCGCGTACAGTGGTGCGCGGAGATTGGCGCGCGCACGTGTGCAGCGCGGTAGCGGGCGATCTGCGCGCGCGACGCACGTACCGAGGGGACGCGCCGCGTATCTGCTGGGCGTCATACGGAACAAGGTGCGGGCGATGTGTAGTGTAAGAGAGCGGCGCGCGTACAGTGGTGCTCGGAGATTGGCGTGCGCACGTATGCAGCGCGGTGGCGGGAAATCTGCGCGCGCGGCGCACGTACCGCGGGGACCGCGCCGCGCACATGCTACGCGCCATACGGAACAAAGTGCTGGCGATTTCTAACTCGTTTTTTTAGGGATCAATCGAAATTTAAACCATATAGTTAAGTATACGGTCCGTTGAAGCTGTAACAAAATGACACTTCTAAGTTAACGTAAAAACAACGAATATTTATGTTGCGTACCTACAAGTTTGTACGGTACGGACGAGAATTCATTCGATTGCATAATTAGTCAGTGCGTCCGCCCGAATAGCGAAAGGTGTAGGTTCGAGTTCCATCTGCTACCTAGCCGTGTGGAGTAAAATTTTCTTAAGATCAAACATTTAGCAATTAAATGCTTAAAAAAAATATATGACTATCATTACTACTATTTCAAATGGCGCCTTATTAGATCATTAAAATTAACTAAATATTACTCGTTTAACAGAAACATCATTACCGAGAACTAGAGGCAGAGGTGCGGGATAAACTCGGCAAATTACCCGACGGCTTCGTCACTTATTGGTTGCGGCGATTCCCGCTATTATTGCCGCATGTTTGGCTTCAAATGCAGCAATACCGAAACGAGGACATCCTACAAGAATACTACCCCCACTCCTTCATATTCAACAGGGACGAAGTCGCAGAACTAAACGTTTTAACAGAATACGAAGATTACATACCCACAGAACTTTGCGACCCGGAGAGAAACGAGTTATTCGTTAAAAGCAAAACGCATCTCGAAGAAAACGAAGAGAGATATCGATATAACAAAACCAACGGGTCTCCGCGGAAATTCAACGACTGGAGGAGCGAAGCCAAAGAGTTTAAAACGAGACAGGACGACGTCAGATTAAGAGATAAACACCATTACAAGAAGAAGGAGAAGAGAAAAGAGGAAGTGCCCGTTTGGACTTTGCCCCCACCGTGAGAATTGTAGGTACGAATATAATTTGTGTGTTATTGTTTTTATCTTTAAGAATCGAAAGCACAATTTTTATTAACGCGAATGCCTAATTTGCAGTTAAGATTAGTGTTAAGGTAAGTCATACAGTAAGGATTCATACATATTAGTGAATTAAAATGGTGATAAAAAAATTAGTTGGGTGTCATGAGTTTACATTTAAATGTCACTCTAGTGTTGACAAACAGCAAACATGATAAACTGCTTTTCTATAAGGACCTGTAAAGCTAAATAATACAAACGATTTTACAAAAACTTGAAAATAAGTAAAATTTTTGTAATGGGAACAAGTTCGTTACCTTATTTAGTAATGCTCAATGAGTGTGTTGTAATATTATTTATTATAGTTATTCTGATTCTCTGATCGTTTGATCGTTAACATTAACTTAAAGTTTAAATCATTTTTAAAGTTTAAGTTATTAAGCTTTAAGCATTATAATTCTTAGCATTCTATTCATTGTCTAGGTATTGGTATGGAATGCCGAATTATACAGATTTCCGGTAACATATATAATTAACATTTTTATGGTATTACAATGATATGAATTTATATAAATAGTCTATTTAATTTTTCTATATGCTAACTTCTTCTTTGGGACCAAAATATAAAATAACTAAAAAATAATGAAATACGAACATGGAGTTTAAATTTTACATTAAGTATTAGGATACGAAAACAGCCGTAGTTGTTATTATAGATATTATAATGTAGTCGTTTGAGGAATGGTTCGCAGAAGGTGATAAATAAAATTGCCAAGTAGTCAAGTGAAAATAGGTTTTGTAGAGGCTGGCTAGTTCAGAACAGAATTAATCTTAGGAGCATTTTGTTCAGAGAATGTCATAAAAATAAGTTTGGTCAAATAAGTACTAAATAGTACATGGATTACTTTCATAAGTTCAAACCCGAGGAACCCAAAAAGTGACTACTAAGTTCAGAACTAACTATTTCACAATGAAGTCGATTATAGTCATTCTAATATTAATGTATGTTATGGTTTAATTGGAGGAATTGTAGGTAATTTATTGTCGAGCTCAAGACACGGCACGGTTAAGAGTCTTCAACTTATTCAAATGTGCTTGCGTTTAACGTAAAAATGCTGCTACTTAAACAGCGACATCTGGTGGAAAAACAACGGTTTGGGCTCCGTCTGATGTCTACGTAAATTTAGGCGCTCTTCAAATGCTATTTAAATTTACGTTCAGTCGAATGCATGCGAGTAAGATTTAGTACTCGAATTGAGTAAAAATATTTTTATATTATATATTTTTTACAAAAATCTACTTGGCCCAGGTACACTTATTACTAGAATTATGTAAGTATAGGAAACACATCTATCTCCATATGGGTTATACAAAAATATATAACAGTTTTAGATCGAAGTAATTTATTCTATTAAAATTTCGTTTAGATATGGAAATCATAAAATAAACTGCTAGTTTTTTTAATGGCTAATGGGTAGTTAATGCTAGATGATGAAAACTTTAAAAAATAATAGGGTAATTGCATCACTAAAACGCCACGATTGGGTACGCGAAGATTTAAACGCCAACTCACGAAAAGAGACCGCCGTTGTCGGAACTTTGTTCTGCAGATATAAAAATATATACAATGAATTTTGAGTTTATATCATTTACAAAATATCTTCAAACGGCGCAAATTTGTAAATAACATAATTATCTATATTGGAATTATTACCCGTTTAAAGTACACAGATCATAAAAGTAGTTCTATTTGAATCAATTTATAACAATTAAAATTGTTAAGAGTTCATAATTGCAGAAATAGTAAGTTAATCTGGTGACATTATTTCGTATTTTTTTGCGGTAATATAATGTTAATCGTTTTCTGAATTAGCTAGTAAAGTTTCTCAGGTAACTCAAAATTCACGGTGTAATTTAATATTTTTTTAATAACTTGTATAGGATAAACGCAACGCACAAAGTGTGCAATTACAGTAAAATGTGTCTTATACAGTTTTAATAAGGACGTAAAGTCAACGCACATGTAAATATTAAATATTTTACCTCCTCATTCAGTGATTAGTGTACTTAATGGCTAAATAATTATTTTTGGTGCTTAGGCAAAATTGTGTACCTAATACAGTCGCGACTTCGTTACTTAAAACTATTACCCAATAGATATCAAGCAAACCAATTATTGTTTAGTCAGGAATATATCTCGACAGTTTTTTATAATAAATATAGTCTGTAATAAAGTAATTATATGGATGATGTTTTAATCATATTTTTATTTTTATTTTTTTTTAATTAGTTTAATGTCTTTCTTGTTTTCATGACATGTACCTTGTATTTTATGAGTCTCCAATATTTCGGCACTGTTGCAAGCGCCATGATCATGGTAACAATCCCGTTAATGGCTATAATGTTAGTGACCATGAAAGTTTGAAACAATATAAAGAATACTGATAGCCCAATCAGTTGTTTTAGTTAAAACTACGTTTTATTTTTATTTCATATAACAGCATTATTTTTTAATTAATCTGTTGTGAAATGATGACATTCCTTATTTTGTAGTATGTTTATGGATAGATTGTTCGAAACGGTGCTTTGAGTAATGGTTACGATTATAATACTAACTATGATTTAAGTTAAGTATAAGTATTTTCAGGCGAGCCATCCTAGGCTTGAGTGGTGTCACCACAAACATAGTTCGAAATAGGTAAAGCGAGTGTATGTAATTCGCGTGCCAAAAAGGAGACCAAGGGTTTTCCTTTAACGCTTATTTATTTTTTCGCATCACCCTTCTTGATGCTGGACGTCAATCGCAATGTTTAAAAATATATAACTACTTATGTTATATTATCTTCTAATATATAAAATTCTCGTGTCACGGTGTGCGCATTGAAGTACTACGAAACGACTCGACCGATTTTCGTGAAATTTTATGTGCATATTCAGTAGGTCTGGGAATCGGAAAACATCTATTTTTCATCCCCCTAAATGTTAAGGGTGGTCCACCCTTAATTTCTTTTTTTTTGTACAATTTTATTGTTTTTATTTTTTTTATGATACATCATACAAAAATACATCAACCCTAAATTTTCAATCTTCTACCACCAACCCCTATTTTTTATGGCGGTACGAAGTTCGCTGGGACAGCTAGTTAAGTTCTAAAAATGGTAATTATAATTAAAATAGGTGGCCGTGTTCACCACTTAATTTGTTCTCGTGAGTACTCAATTTATGACACGATCGGTTTCTATACAATTTGAAGCACATGCGGCGTCTACTTCAATCTAGATCTGTGGGTGACACCATCACGTAGGTCACGGGTTTGATTCCCAGACCGTCGTTGTTAATTTATATAATTATATAATAGGCATAATACTTAATTAACTTAAGTGTCTCATAATTTATGACATGTTATCTAATATTTATTTGTTTATTATGAATTGTTAAAGACATTTATTTATAATGAAGTGATTTTTATAACTTATATGTTTGATGTATTTTATAATTTTGTCATTCAAACTCACACTTTCGATTGTTATTAAATTTATATTTATGAAAAAGCAACAAAAAATTTTTTTTTCAAGTTTGACATAACACAGTAATTTTTTTAAATCATCAAACTCCAACAGATATCATATTGACGTGACAGACAATGTGTCTTAATTGAAATATTCTGTCGTGGTAAATTGGAGCTTTTTATAAGTACCTATAATAAATCAATGCTTGAATTTTACTTTCAAGAGCTTCTAAGAATGACTTATACTATAATATTATATACCGTGGGGCTAACACAGCCGCCACACTAGTCTCGAATGACGCCGTAGCTCCAGCGTCCGCGTAGCGTCGACACAGTGTCGACATAGTAATAATAATAATAATATTTATTTAACAATAGTAAAATGATACATGAACATTAATTTTACAATAAGCACCTTACAGTGGCAACGCTATGCGAGCGTAATTGCATGATTTTCTAATTCAATTTAGCAACAGTGTATCCTTGTCAAGTTTTGAGTTTAGAGATTTAATATCTTTATTAATGAGCATCCTTAACGATTATAGTTGAGAATGCAGTTTTATAGAGCTAAGGATTCCATAAAATACAGTGGTTAAATTTTCGTTCTACGTCAAACATTGACGAAGTAATGACCAAATTACTAATCGAATTTTCGGCTGGCCGCCTGGTGACTGTGACATCACAGAGCTCAAGCGATCGGGCGCGAGCGCGCGTAGACGCTACTAAAGTTTGACCGGAGTGAACCACGATCGAGCTGTGATGTCACACGTTTCGGCCGCCGCCCGGTGAATATTGGGTACCATAAAATTAGTTCTAAAATCACAACGCATGAACCGATTTCGATAATTGAAAAAGTACATTACTTAAAAAGCTTATTAAATCATTATACTATTGACTTTGAGTTGATTTGCTGGCCTAGTAATGATCGTCATTCTCAACACCATTGTCTTTGGGAAATCATGAAACTGGAAGTGTAAAGCTATAATAATACTATTGATCTTTATTGAGATCGGAGTCTATTAAGAATGGTATAATAGATTTATACTTTTGTATGATTAGCTAGTGGTATAAGAAAACTAAAACGTTATTGTAATATATTTTGAACTAATCTGATGAAATGGACGAATTTATTGTATACATAATTACTATACATTATTGCACAACATTTTTTCTTCATTTCATAGTGCTTGTTTTGTATTAAATGTAAAACATGGAACTATAAAACATAGTTTGATCTATTTGTATGTTTAAGAGTTTTAAAGAATGAAAGTAAAAAGCTGTAAAATAAATACAACAATATCGTTTTCTTTAAGAACCTAATTTGACTCCCAAGTACACATATGCATTTTTTATTAAATTTCCCTAGATATTTGTTTCATAGTTTGTGGTAACTTACATCTTGTACTTCTGGACAAGATAACAGACTAACAGCAGTGAACAACAGCACTTATACTCTCGACTTTCGCTAAATCGCCATCGTCGGCCATCCTACGCTAACTTAATAGCTTTTGATGCTGTAGAGTTAGAGTAAGACACGACACGACGAAATTCAGGATGAATCGAATATGAATTAATTAATTTATATATTATTATTTTCTTCTTAATTTGGTCGTGTTTTATGGCTACTTAATCAATATTATCATTTTTTACTGTATCCTCAAGGGAACAGCCAAGGGTATACAGGAAAATAAGTGGATTTTAAAAGAAGCTTAGATTAAAACAAAAAGTTTTTTAATCAAAGTTGGGAGCAAAAAAAAACTAAGTTTTTTATAAAAGTCTTTATTTTCAGTTATTAAAATACATACAATATACAATCTATTATTATTGGAGTCTAATTAAATAATTATCAGTCTTATTCTTACATTATAGGGTGTATTAGTCTTTTTATGGCACAAAGGCGTAAGTAAGTTTTGGTATAAAAATAAGTTATAAATATACATGTTTCACCAATATTTTCCTTTAAACATGTTTAGTTTGATAGTATCTAGCTTGGAATAACCATAATTACTTTATGTAGTTCAGCATTGAAGTAATTTAATGGAATAATAGTTATGGAATGTTATTTTAGAAGTATACTTAAAAATACTAAACCAATAATGTTATCCAATATACACATACAGATAAATATAACTTATAAAATACCCCAAACAACTTTGTGATAAAAGGTATTATTAATATATCAGTCCTCATAATTTACTGGCATGTTTCTCTATCAAATCAATGATAGTTAAATGAACTTTTTCTTTGGCTACACTGAGAGCAGTTTTCTCAGATCCATTAAACATTGTAATATCAGGGTTGTAATTTAATAATACCTTAGCAGCTCCAATATTACCCATTTCGGATGCGTCATGTAAGGGTGTATTCCCTGAATGGTCTATTGCATTTATGTTGGCTCCATTGTTTAAAAGAAGATTTATTACTACAGGTTTATTATTTAAGGCTGCTAAGTGTAGTGGTGTTTGACCCCTCTTATTCTGACAATTGACATTTGCATTATTCAGTATCAGGATGTTGCTTAACTCATCTAAGCCATACCTCGCTGCACAATGTAACGCTGTTAAACCATTGGAATCTGGGTAATTAACATCATAATCGGTTTGTGTCCCTTTAGTTTTCTTACATGACTGACATTCACATAAAGGGTGACATAGTGCTTTGTTTGATTTATTATCTTTATAGGATAAGTAGTCAATATTCATATAAAAGCAAGCCAGCTTGACATCACCAAAGGAAATAGCTTTCAATATTCTCTCAATTGTTTTTAAATTCTCAACTGTTTTGCTTGTGTTATTTTCATGAATTTTGAACTTTGACTTTAGCTGTTTCAAGTTTAGGGAGTTGTCAGAGAACTTTAAAGTTTTGACATCAGTACTTGTGATATGTATGTATTCATATAAATTTGGAGTCACAGACTTAAGTACTTGTAAAATTTTTAAATTATGAGCATAGTCAAATGAAGTTTTATTATGACGATTTTGTAGAGACGGCTCTGCTCCATTCTCTATAAGTAGTCTAGCAATACCCTCATAGCCCCATTTAGAAGCTAAATGTAGAGGAGTGTTACCATTTTCGTTGGTAGAATTTATCATGAGCTTTATCCTACAATGTTCTGCAAAATAGATAAGAGCCTTGACACAATTTAAATGGCCGTTATTGACACACAAATGCAGTGGGGTATTCTTATCAATGTTTGTTTGGTTTATATTAGCTCCAGAATGTAATAATAATAACAATGCATTCTGGTGTCCTCTGGTAGCTGCATAGTGTAATGGTGTGCATTCATTGAGGTCTGTGGCATCTATCTCTGCATCCATTTCAATTAATAATTCCACTATGGTTGCTTTCCCATGGATACTAGCAACATGTAAGGGTGTAAGACCATGACCATCCCTAGAAGCCACAGTCGGTGAGGTTTTTAACAGATTTTTGGAGATTTTACTGCAACATCTTTTGCAGTTACATAGTGGGTGACACAATTTTTCATATAACTCTGATTCACTTTCACTATCATCATCTATATCATCAAACTCTTTATCTAATGATACTTTCAAAATATCATTCACATTTTCTTTAATACTCTCTAGATTCCTTTTGTTCCTCAACAGTATTGCTTGAACTTGTTCAGAATGATTAGCTTTTATCAATTCAAATACATGTTCTAAAGTTTCATCTCTAGGGTTTGTATCAGATGTTGATATTGATTCAGTTAAACTATTCTTTCTTTGTCTACCATTAACATTTTCTTCAGCTAGATTACTTTCATAATAATAAGATTCAGGATTTGGAGGACCTGATAGAGCTCCTGACTGTATATGCTCTATAACAGCTTCTAAAGTAGTGATGAGAAAAGTGCTCTCATCACCATCACCCCTGCCTACTCCACTGAAACGGAACTCTTTCATGTAAGTGAGCTGGCTGTACCAATTTGGTAATCCTGACTTAATTACAAGAAAAACAAAAACAGGTAACAGATCATCTGCTGTTAACAGAACAATGTTGTTGCTACTGTCAATCTCATTTATTGCATTTAGTGCTTGTTTTAAACATAAAACTTTTTCTAAAACTGTATTAAATGTGTCAATTTTGGACAGTATTTGTTTAGCTTTTGGCACAGAGTGGAAAAGTTCTTTCTTGATATCTAAATCTTTAAGTTGAATGTCATTCATGTTTCTTATCTTCTTATTAAGATGAGAGTCCTCATAAGCACCGAAAGTACAAATATGTTTGAATATGCTTCCAAATAATAGCTGCTGCATGTAACATTCTACAGCAATTTTAATATTCTCAAGTGTCATTTTGCATGATTTTGATTTTTCTCTTAATCTTCTATTTTGTAATGCATATTGGAGGCACTGCGTGTACAACTCACTTATAGAATCTCTGAGAGGTCCAATAGCAATTGGTAAAGGTTGTTTCTTTAAAAACAATTGCACACTTTGTTCTATTTGGTCAAGTACTTGCCTGCCTGCTGCTTGTGTCCATAATAAGTCAATGCAATCATTTATTGATGCAAGATATTCTTTTGTAGTCAAATTATCTCCTGTCTTTGTGGTGGGTTCGAGTGGAGATTCTATGCACCATACCTTATATTTGATGAAGTCTTCTGTATAAAATGTCTCTTCAAAAAGGATGTGGCTTTGTAAAGGTAAGCCCTTCGTAACTTCAAGTGTAATCACTTTATTAGCCACTGTCACCTGTTTTTCTGTAAGTGTGCTGTAGTGCGATTCCGGCAATTCGTCACTAGGAACGAGTATATGAGCACAGAAATCTTCAATTGCAAAAACTCTTGACGTTAAACTTCCGATTCGAGGCACACATATTATCCATGACTGCGCGATGCAATGTTGAAATAAATTTGTGTATTCATTTTTAAACTCCACAAAGAATGGATTTTCGGAGACAATTTCATCGTACGAGCCCTCCATTTCTAAAATAAATGAGCAATGTAATTATATTCTAGCAGACAGTGAATTCTCTAATGGATTTTCGTATCAATTACTAATGGAGTTATGATGCTATAGTATTGGAACTCTACAATTAAGTTTAAGTAAAATGCTAAACTTACATTTTTTCCAATTTAATCGGTCGATACTAATAAATTAGGAAGTAAAAACGTGCGAGTGAAAGTTTCAAAACATTGACTGGCTGTCGACTGTCGAGTAGTAGTCATGTCAATTTAAATGTCAATGTCATGTTGTTATTACTTTTTAAGATTCTTCCGTTTTAGGAAAGGCAAATGCCCATACAGCCTAGTTTTTAGTTATATTTATCTTCATTTTTTTGCATTAGAATGTCGGTGTGACGCATTCTAGTGTTTCTTGGAGTGTTTTGCACGCATCGAGTTGGATTTTTCGATAAGCTTCTGTGAGGTAGTCAATAAATAATAATAAAGTTTTCACGTCCACTTGAACGGAATAGCAATATTTTAAAGGTTCCACTAATTCTTCAGTTGCGCAGACGGTTGTAACACAAAATAACACCAACTTTATTTCACAATATCCACTATATACGAATTTAAGAATAATTAAAATAAGACGCCAAACACACTCGATGAAAGCCCGCCAAACGCTCCTGTCAATGTCATGTTTTTTTAGGAATATTTTCCCTAAAGAAAGCAAAGTATATTTTGTCCAAACAAGTCTAGTATTTTTTTATGTTTTTGTTTTACATTGTAATGAGGGTGTGATTCAATCAATTCTAAAGATAATTTTACTCAAAAAGAATTTACTCTGCTATCCGGGCGGACACACTAATCAATTACCTAAGACACCATAATCAAGTGAGCGTGTCGAATTCCTTCTAGTAGGTATTTCATAGGTTACAAGGCAGAGTGTCGTCTTTTCGCATTTTAAGTAATCCTCAATGTCAATAAAAATACCTTAACAAGCCTTAAAAATTTTAAAGTAGAAAAAGCAACTGTAAATTATTGCATTTATTTGCCAGATTAATAAATGTGACGAAAATTTTACTAGAAAAAAATCCACTCGGTCCAGACATCAGTGTACGTAGTGTTATTTTACTGTGGTCTTTTGTAAGGTCGAGGTTATACAATATCTGAACTTTTAACTTTAACCAATTTGTGAGTATTGACTACATCCACCCAAACCTACTCTAAACGTTGAGAGTGACTTATATTGGTTCTGAAGTCAGGATGGCTGGTGACCTATCTGTAGTGTAGTTACACTTGCTGTTTTATAATTACAGCTGCGACTTTCATATAACAATAATTACTTCCAACTTGCTTTTTTTAAATAGTAATAAGTGTCAAATCTTTTAAAACCAACCTTATGTTAAAATTATAAGATATCAAATTATGATTTGGACTTACACAAGAATGGCAAGATTTAAATTTGCTATATACGTAAAGTCAGCAAACGGGAATGTACACTAGGTGTGGACAAATGATCAATCATCCCGTAGTCGTGTTGGAATCATTAGTCACCCTGCCCTAAATATTTCTGTTATTCTAAAAAAAACCCAGGTAGCATATTTATTTTATTAGGAATAAAAAAAAATCGTTAGAGACCTTCTTAAGAAAAAATTGTATCAACTCCCGGGCTAAAAAAGGAACAGAAGCCTTGCTGCTTAGCAGAAGATGACGCAGACAAGAACACAGAAGATAAGTAGCCAATCGAGGGGCCCCTTTTGTCATCTGTGCTTTTGACTCGTCACCTTTTGCCTAGGTAGTACATATTAGCATTTATCAACAAAAAATACATTACCAACTCTTCACCCGCGCGAACGAATTTGTACTGGCGCCGTACTGGCGAGTACGGAGCGGATGTCCAGAGGTTCTACTTTACTTTCCTAGGCCGCTTTGTTTGATACTTACATATGCAGTTTATTTGGGCAATTCTATAAGATTATTAAATATCAACGCTATTAAGGATACGATAATTGTTAGCATTATTACAAGATGGGCTTGTTTACCTGTTAATTTTCAAACCTAAATCAGAGTCAAGTACATTAGGTTTAGGCGTTTCTTTTAGGTTTGCTACCTTAACCTAGAAAAAAATCGGTTTTCCTAAAAAGCGAAATCAAATAGGTTTTGAATCAATTTAGCGGTTTTAAAGGGTTTCATTTCGCTCTTACTGACGGCTGAAATAAATACACAACTACAAAATGAATAATTTGACTCACTAGACACAAGTAAACGTGTCAATAAATGCATCAATCTCTGAGCATTAACAAGTTGTGACTTGATTAGTTCAAACAAAACAAACTTCTAGCGACGCCGACACGCGTGCACGTGTCGCTCTGGATTAAACCGGTTTATTAAGGTTTTGGGTACCACTTTCATTTCGGACGCGCTCCGAACGAAACCTTTACTAAAAAACGGTATTAACCTTTATTTACCTATATTTACGGTATTTTTGAAACCGGTTTCAAGCCCTGGATATAACACCGCCATCTAAGGACATTTGGTAAGTCTGAAATCTTTCTTCAAGGAAAATATAGGTGATCGGATCTGGGTTGGGCCCTGTAGGACCCAACCAAGTTAGGGCGTGTGTGACACAGATATGTAATAAACATCTAGTTATTTAATTTGTTAAGTATCTACAATCCAAACCCAGTCGCATTAGAGGATATAATTCAAAAACCTAAATTTCATAAAGGTGTATTTCCATTATTAAATGAATCACTGTTACATTCGATATGAACTTCAACGAGAAAAGAAGGATTAGATTAACCCCTTCCACCTCTGCCTCCTCCAATTCCACGACCACCTACACCTCGTCCCCCAAACCCGCGACCTCCAATTCTTCCTACACCTTGTCCTCCTGCAGCTCTTCCACCAAAAGCTCTCCCGCCAAAACCTCGCTCCCCGTATCCGAAACCTCTTCCAGCAATAAATCCCCCGCCACCTACGATTATGGGTAACGGTAAAGGATACGGCGGCCGTCTGTCTGGAATGAAGAAACAACACTATTAGTGAAACATTAGTAATAGTACATATTGAGTACATACATGCAATATAGTAATAAAAGAAACTTGGTGTGAATACTACTTGTGTACACGCGTTGGATATTAGATAATATTTTTGTTTAAAATATAGCGTCATCTGGCGACACAGTTTTACTGAAAGCCTATTTCCCCAAGAAATACTTTAACCAAAACTCATATCATAGACTTTATTTACATAAAGTATAAGTATTGCAATAACCATGCTGAATTCTGTGGTCTTTTCACACAAGGGCATTGATTTCCAGGACATATTATAAAGTCATTCTCACGATCGAAATTGACTTATTTCTTATGTTTTTATTTATTTTTAAGCATTTAACTGCTAGATGTTTAAATCTAAAGAAAAGTTTAAGACTTATTTCGTTAATCAATCGTTTCGAATTAAGTATATAGTGGTGTTCTGTCGAGATAATTTCTGTTCGCTCCTTTTTTCACTAGTCCAGGAAATGAAGCTCAAAAAATGGCAAAACCCCGCATTTTTTGAAGTGAAAACTTCTTTAGCGGCGTCGTACACTTTTTTTTGTATGGGTAAAAAAAGTTAAACTCGCGTCAGATTAAAGATGTGGGCTGATCGCATTATGACACACAATCAAATTGGAAAGGTTGTTGACTTTCAATATATTGGACGAAACTTATTAATATTTTATTTTACCGTATTATAATAATAAGTCTCTATCTAGGACGTCCACGTGGCAGCTTTATTGCGAAAATGCATTTTTTTTTTACAATAGATGTAGCTAGGTGCGCTTAAATGTGATTCATGTAAGTTGATTTCTTTACAATAGATGTCGCTAAGTGCGCTTAAACGTGATTCATGTAAGTTAATTTTTCTGAGAGATAAACTTTTTTAATGTAATATAAATTATCATGTTTGTGTACGATAGCGCAATAAATAAATATTGTATTCTACCACATTCATGATACTACTTTTATACTGATAATTAAAGCAATTCGTGCAAAATTATTCCCTAACCATTCCAAAATATCAAAAATGCACAACGTTAATATTGAAGTTTTCACTTCTGCCGGCACTGCCGGAGTGCAACCCTAACTTAACTAACCTAACCTTAATTGTCAACCTTAGCAAATAACATTTCAAGATATTAAAGAAAAATAAATAAATTAAAAAGCTTTTTTCTCATACTAATTGAATTTTAGAGTGCGAGTGGCCTAAGCGAGAAAGTTTTTCTCATATTTCGGCAAATATTAAACTTATGTGGCTGTGCATGTTATTAGTTCACATCACGCACCCCTTCCGTCTCGGTGTTCTACAAGCCGCGGCGTCGTCATCATAGAGGTCTAATAATAGAGTAGGGGAGATAAATGTACTCTACTACAAGTGGAAGTGTCCGTCTATTAGAAAGAGAAAGAAGATAAGAGAAGGCTAGCTATCGCTCTCTCTTGTGACGCTGCGCAGTCGTGTGATTGGTCGGTATTGCAGCGCAGTCATGTGATTGGTCGGTATTCTTCCGTAGGATTTTCATCCAATGTGCATTCGCGATTAGAAGTGGAACACCATATTATTAAAATGGGCTGAGTTCTGAGTTTCTTTAAACTTTCCCGAACGAGCCCTTTGGCTTGAGTTAGATGGTGCTCGCTCGTTAATATTTATATTTAAGAAACTCCACGCAAAGTGTAATATTTGTAATCAAATGAGCTACAATTTGCGACTCAGCATATTTTTCGTAGGGACACGATATCGAAGAGAAACTATCGATACTGCACTCATGAGTAGTATCGGAAAAAAAGTATCATACGCATAAAAGTATCGAAACAAAAGTATCGATACTTCAAAGTATCGAGTACATTTCATAGGACCTTATCAGATCCTCTGTAGCATGATGAGCAAACCCCCCCCCCCCCACCCCCCGGGGGTTAAAATTGAAAGAAAAACAATCGAATTTTATTATAGTACGTATAATCAAAAACAAAAAAGGACATGTAAATTCACTAATTGCTATATTATATAATGAAAAGAAAATAGCTGTGATTTCTAACACTAAAAAAGTGTTCATTAATATTACATTCATAATTAAAATGTTAATTAAAAGGATCGAAATGTTAAACAATTTAAAAGTATGAAACTTGAGTCGTATAGTATCAAAGGCGGCAAAGTAGGGCGAACCAAATGCTTGGCAAATCAAAAAAAACTGTTTAGTCTCGTCTTTAAGGGAGGATTTTTATAATTAACATTTCAC